GGGGGGGTAACGAACAGGCCCTTAACGAGCCCCAGGTTTGCATGAGGGGTGCTGATCCCACGTGCTCCGTTCCTCTGACTCCTGCTGTCCTCAGCGGGCACATCCAGGGCTCCCACGCCCGACGTTGGCACTACCCTGCTCCGCTCCACCCTCCTGGCCCTCCTGGCTGCGCTTCCCCGGAAAGAAGCTGGAGCAGCTCGTTCTGTGCTGCCGTGAGATTTCCCCCGGCCTGGAAGGAAGGACACGGGCTCCTGACTCTGCATTTGTTTGCCCTGGGTACGGGCCAGCCAGCTCGGTTATCCTCACTCGGCCCGTGGATGCCCGTCATGCCCCACATTGGGCCAAGCAACACTGGATCCCAGAGTCACCCAGGGAAGAAGCAGATGTCTTCCCTAGGGAGGACTCAGCCGCGGTGAGGAAGGGGGCATATTCCCCACCATCCCCTGCTCAGCCTTGCTCCTGCCTGAATCAACAACCGCCGGGGCTCCGGTTACCTCCGAGGCGAGGAGGGACCTTGGCTTTTCCCCGGCTGGAGGAGCTGGCCCGCCAGGCCGTGTGCCTTGAGTCACGCGGCAATGATGCTGGCTGCAGGGCTGGGAGCCAGGCAGCAGCTATTTATAGCAGAGGAAGTTTGGGCCTTGGAGGCTGGTGACTCACGGGGCTGCTGCCCCTGAGCCAGTCCGGCTAACGGCGGTGCAAAGCCATTTCCGGACTCGCTTGTCCGCCATGGGATGGGCACCGCGTCTCTGCACCGTGAAGGCACCGGGTGGCAGGAAGGTCCCTGCCAGGCGTCTCCTGGGCTGGCGTGCAAAGGCAGGGGGGACCTGGCGCGGACGCATTCGCCGCGTGCAGGCGTCAGGGTAGAGTCAGAGGATCCCAGAGCCGCGGGGCTGGAAAGGAGCTGCGGGGGTCGCATCCAGTCCGAGCCCTGCCTGAGGCAGCATCGGCCCCATCCAAACCAGCCCAGACACATCCACTGTCCGGCCTCGAAGCAAAACGACCGTCAGTCCTGACAGCCCCAGGCCTTGCACCCCAATCTGCTGCCGGGACAGCTGGGGGACCCGGAGGTGGTGTTCAGCCAGAGCCCTTCGACGGCAGGAAAGCTCTGCCATGGGGCACTTTGTACCTGTCTCTGCCTACAAATGCCCCATAGACACGTCCCCCAAGCCATGGACACAGGCTGTGTCTGCCATGGACACGTCCCCTGAGAAGTGCCCTGATCCTCTTCTCTTTGCCCGTGGCCAGACATGGTCCAGCTCAAGGGGCTGCTACAGCATCAGCAAGGCAGGCACCGGCATTGTCATGAGAACACACACGTGTGTCACCCGTGCTTGTGCGGCTCCATGCAGCCATGGGCATGAGGGCCTTGTGTGAGGGGGCCTGATCTACCGGCAAGGACAACCCCACCGGGGGCAGATGCTGGGGTTCCCACAAAGAAGGGACATGGGACACATGCACACCCGTGCTCACTGGCATATCACACAAGCATGCCCTCCCTTGCACGCTGTTCCATGCACCCCCACCTCTCTTGCACGCGTCCCTGCAGGCCCTGCTCAGATGTTGCTCCCCTGCCCTGGCTCATGGGGACACAGGTCCTTGCACATGCAACTGCACCCCCTGCCGTGCCCCTTGCACACTCTTGCTCTGGGCTGCTTCCCCTGCTCACATGTCCCAGGAGGCTCTGTTTAGGGGATGGGAACGCTGCCTGCAGCTCCAGGCTGCGTGAATACGAGTGGAGGATGTGAGATGCTCTCTGGCTGACAGGGGCTCTGGGTCCTGGGGCTTCCTCCAGATGCACCCGGGGCAGCTGGGTACCCAGGCAGGGCAACTGGTTGCCCCAGGTTTACACCCAGGGCTGGGAGACGGGGCAGGGCGGGGAGACGGCACTGTGCTGAGCTGCGTGCTACACACAGAGGAACAATATATAGCTTTCTTCCCCCGCAGAGCCTGGCCCCGGCAGCAGAAACCTCCCCGGCGATGCTATTGTGCCTGAACACACACAATGCTCCGGCCTTATCACCCCTTATCTGCTCCGGCCACTCGGCACCGGAGGAAGCGGGCTGGGAGCCGGCCCCGGTGCATTTCCGCCTGTCTTCCCGATACAGCAACAGGGCTCCGCAGGGGGAGCTCGGAGGGGGTTTCAGCCCTGCTGGGACTGCTGTTTCCAGGGGATGGTTATCTGGGAGAGAGCAAGGCATGGGCAGTGCAAGCTGGGCCTTGAGAGAAGGGGCTCGGGGGCAAACGAAGCAGCTGCAAAGCTGGCGCCTGCCTTGGGAGCACACCCGTGTGCTGGGGACCGGGCTTATACCACCCCCGGCAGTCCCTGGAGAAGGGGCTCCGACGGGCCCACAGGGAGTCCGGCTATCACCGCGGCACGTCCGTGGGACCATTGCAGAGACATCTCCAGCTGAGATGGAGGCCCCGCTGTGCCAGGCAAACCCAGAGACTGCCCCTGCCCCAAGGAGCTGAACAGATGGGCTGCTGCTGCAGATGGGGAAACCGAGGCATGGAGGGATGACACACCTTTGGCCAACATCCCAAGGCCACGATCGCCCAGGTCTGCTAGACCAGCCTGCCCCACTGCCACCCATGATGCTCTGTGGGTCAGGATCCAGCTCTCCCCCAGCTCAGCCTGACCAGGGTTTCCTCTGCCGTTATCCAGGGAGGGAGGTGGGGGCGCGGCATCCTTCTTGGGGGAGCAGAGAGATGCCTGAGCCCACCATTATTTAAGCTCCATCGGGGTTTTTCCTGACACGGCTCTGTGGCGTCACGATCCACAATTAACAGTAAGCAGGATACAATTAGCTCCGTCAGCAGCACCCCTGGGGTCACCCCGCTGGCATCTGGCTCCACAGCCCCCGTTGCTGCCGGGAAGCGGGTCATTTCACTGCCATCTCCTGTGCCCACGAGGGGCAGACACAGCACCCGGAGCCACCGGTGCCCTCCCCAGCTCAGCACAGGGCGGTGTGTCCGGAGCAGGGCACTGGGCCCAGCAAGGGGATCAGGTCAGAAAGACTTTTAAAGCGTCCGTAAATCTCGCTCATGCAAACAGTCACGGAAGGACATGGGGTGATGGCATTTCCTCCTGGCTGGCCGGTCCCCTCACCACCAGGCCCTGAGAGCTGCCAGTATCAGGCTGTCCGGGATGCCCCAGTCCGATGGGAGACGTGCTTCGGAGAGGACATGAGGGGGGAAGGCCGAGGGGTACGTCCCGTTCTGCCTCCCTGGCTCCCCCCAGGCGGCTTCCCGCTGGCCTCTTGTGCAGGCAGCGATTGGACCGGGTGCGAATCTCCAGCCCAAACTGGTGCCACAGCCCCCAGGCACTCAGGGTCAGCTCTGCTGTGCTTCGTGGGGTGGCTAGGGGTCTTCTGCTTGTGCTCCACAATGGTATGAGCAGCCAAGGGGGTGCGGACAGGTCACCGATAAGTATGGCCATTAATTATATGCATCCTGGCACTCTCCAGCATTGATCGGCTGAAGGAAGCATGTGGATGTGAGCGCTCAGACAGCATCCAAGCTTTAGCCTGGGAGAGCCTCGGCCTGGGAGGAGGCTGCGGGGGAGAAACGGCTGGAGAAGAGCAGAAGCCCGCGGCGCTCGGGCAGACTGGACGGCAGGGAGCAGGGCCAGTCCTTGTGCCTCGGAGCCGATGGTTGCAGAAGGGCAGCTCTCGGCTGGGGCGGGACACGGCTTCTAACTCCCCCGGGGAGAAACCCTGCAGCCTAAAGGTAGCCGGCATCCCGCCGGCTGGACCGTGCTGTGCTCAGCCCGGCGGCGAGGGGCAGGGGCTGGAGGTGTGCCCCTTGCCCCGCACCGTGCGGGGCCAGACCTGGCTGAGACGGGACGCTAGCTCGTGCCACTTCATGCCCTCCGCGCTGGTCCGGGGGCAGCAGCGCTGGTGCCAGGCCGGCCTGTCGGAGCCCCCGGCGGACTGGAGTCCGGCCTCGCCGGCTGATAAGATGTGCTCCTGCTTCTAGCCGGCGGCGTATCCCCTTTCTCTATCGGGCAGCCGGCAGCCAGGCTGGCGGGCCCCGGGGAGGGTCTCGTTTCAGCAGCAAGCAAAGCAGCGCGCGGCCTGGCGAGGCCTCCGAAGAGGACGGCTCGGGGGAAAAGCCGGCGGGGGAGACGGTCCACATTTCAGGAGGCTTCGAGGAAGATCAGACCCCGTTCAACAGAAGCATTAGGGGACTCCTGTGCTGTCTGCCTGATGCGACGTGAACCCGAAGCCCGTGGGATCCGCCGGGGACCTGCTGATTCGCTCTGCCTTCAAACCCTCTCCTCTGGGCTCTGGCTCCTTCCCCGGCTCCCGTCCTGTCCCCGCAGGCTTTGGGCTCTGTGAGAAACCCCCTTGGAAATGGCTCCCACGCCCATCGTGACCCCTGCCAACGCTGATCAGCGTTTACTGTATTTTTTCGCATACCACGCGCCCCCCAGACACACACCTTGCTTTGGGAAGGCAGAATGAAGAAAAAGAAAAAGACTTTTCCTTTGAATCAAACTGGATTCGTGTTCCCTATTGAAGGGAGAGGCAAGGATTTCTTAAGGGGATCTCTGTTACTTGACCCACTACATAGCTGGGATAGAGTCAGATCAGCTTTCAAATGCAAGGCATCCATTGTCGCCCTAAGAAATCCTTGCCGCTGGCATCATTCCTGGACCGTCGTGTCTGCAACATCACCCTGGCACTCCCCTATTTAAGACGCACGCTGCAATTCTCAGTTGCTAATTTTGGGGCAAAGGTGCGTGTGGTATATGGGTCAGTATGGTAATTGCTCCCGCTGTTACCAGGGGGAAACCCATTGGCTCTACCAAGGGAGAGCAATTCAAGTCCGCCACCCGGGTGGGATCCCCAGCAAGCTCCAGGGGGAACCCCCCTCCAGGATGCATCCTCCACCAGTGACAGGCTCCACCAATGAAATGACAGGCAGCTGATTTAAAGAGACAGCGTCAGTTTAGCGCTCAGAGCGAAGCCCTTGGAAAGCAGGAAGCTCATGCTAGGGAAGGTCTCTGCAAGTTATTTTTAGGTCCCAGGCAGCTTGATTTCACTTCAGCCTCCCCCCTGGGAAGCCCGAATCCGGGGCAGGAAGCCAAAAGAGCAAGGAAGGGAAATGGGCATCTCCTACAGACGAGGGATGCTCACATCGTGCGCCCAAAAAGCGTAACACAAGGGCTGTCCCGCTTCCAGGCTGTGCCGCCTTCACGCGGAAACAACCGCAGCCAGGGCTGGGACGGGACCCTCCACCCGACCGGCCTGCTTTCCCAGCATGGCCAGGCATCGGACACCAGGTCAGCAGGGAGAAAGCACGAGACTACAAAAATAACCCCTTGCTTGCTTTCTAAATGCATCTCTCTTCCAGACTTTGAGCTTCGTGCAGCCCCGTTTCTAAGCAGATCCCTCACCAGAGGCTGCCAACACCGATAGCCTCTGGGTTTCACAAGGCTCCGGGAGCTGGTGATTGAAGGAAAACCGAAACCACGTTCAGCCTGGGCCAACATGGGCGGCAGATGTCGATGGGGATGTGTCTTCCACCTCCCCCCTTAACGCTGCAGGGAGTTTCAGCTGTCGGTGCTTTCTCTCCCTCCTGCTTTCCCCTGGGCACAGCGAGTGGCTCCAGCCCTTCCCCCCGGGGCCATGGAGCGGCTGGAAAATGTTACCCCGGACACATCTGGCTCTGCAGGATGGGGCCCTGCTCTCGGCCTCCCCCCGCCTGCTTCGCCGGGGAGCTGAGCTTTGCTGCATCATGAGCAAAAAAAAAAAAAAGAAAAGAAAAAAAAAGAGGCTTCTGCAGCCTGGGGAGAAAGAGCCTGTGCACAGATAATAAAGCAAAGGGGAGTCAATTAACAGGCCTATAAATAGCGCCTGGCGAGGGAAGGGAGATGATGTCATGCCAGCTCGGAGGAGCCGCGATGTCAGTCGATGCCGCGCTGGCCCAAGGGGGGGTTGGATGGATCGGAGGCGGCCGTGTCTCATCCAGGGACACCCCAAAGGGTGCTGGGGTCCCCGGTGAGCCGGGAAGTCCTGACCCAGGGGGTGGTTAAAGGCCCGAGGCGGTGAGGTGCAAAGTAGCTGGCAGGGGGGAAGATGGGGAAAGCCGGGGTGGGGGGCACTCAGAGGGTGGCATGGATCTGTGTGCAAAGGGCCTGGCCTGGCTCTGCCCCCTCACCCCTATTCATGCCCCAGGCCCCTCTGCACCTACCCCGGGCGGGCACAGGGACCCCAGCCCCAGTCCCTTCCAGCCCCTAACAACTATGAAACTACGAAATCCTGTGGTCCAGTCGTTCCCTGCCCGATCCCCCTTGCCCCTCCCCTAGGGCCCACGTGTGCCACGTCAGCCTACAGAGCCCTTCCAACCCTCTCAGGCGATAAGCCCTGTGAAGTGGGGCGCGGGGTCTTCTGGGGGTCTCTGGGAAAGCCTGCTTTCTCTATAGGGTGTGGGGTGGGGGGGCAGCTTCCAATAAGGCAGCCTGGCCCTCCCGGGGGGGAGGGATGGGGGGGCACAGGCTCACAGTGCCAGCAGGGAGGACGCCGAGGTCTCGCTGCAGGGGTTACTCCTTAGCTGTTCCTGCTGCATCGTCTCCCTGCTGCACGAGGCCCGGCTGGGGAGAAGTGGGCACGCTAGAAGGGAGGAATAGGCTGCAATCGGACCTGGACAGGTTACAGGGGTGGGCCGATGAGAACAGGATGGGGTTCAACACTGACAAGTGCAAGGTGCTGCACCTGGGGAGGAAGGACCAGCAGCATACCTACAGGCTGGGGAACTCCCTTCTCATCAGTGCAGAGGCAGAAAAGGATCTTGGAGTCATTATAGACCCCAAGATGACCATGGGCCGACAGTGTGGGGACGCGGTCAGGAAGGCCAACCGCACCTTGTCTGCATCCACAGATGCATCATGAGCAGGGCCAAGGAGGTGATCCTCCCCCTCTACGTGACACTGGTCAGGCCGCAGCTGGAGTACTGCGTCTAGTTCTGGGCGCTGCACTTCAGGAGGGACGTGGACAGCATGGAGAGGGTCCAGAGGAGGCCACCCACACGATCGGGGGTAGCAGGGCAGGCCCTACGAGGAGAGGCGACGGGACCTGAACCTGTTCACCTCCACAAGAGAAGGCTGAGAGGGGACCTGGTGGCTGTCTGCAAACTGGCCAAGGGTGACCAGCAGGCAATGGGAGAGTCCGTGTTACCCGAGCACTACTGGGAGTAACAAGGAATAACGGCCGTAAGTTGATGGAGAGTAGGTTCAGGCTAGACATCAGGAGGCGCTACTTCACTGTCAGGGCGGTTAGGATCTGGAACCAACTTCCAAAAGACGTGGTGCTGGCTCCTACCCTGGGGGACTTTAAGAGGAGGCTGGATGAACACCTTGCTGGGGTCGTTTGACCCCAGTACTCTTTCCTGCCATGGCAGGGGTCGGACTAGATGATCTGCTCAGGTCCCTTCCGACCCGACCAACTACGAAACTATGGAAAAAGCGTGCACGTGCATACACACATGTGCATGCACACAGTGGGGAACAGCACTCACACACGCATGCACACACACAGACATGTGCGCGCGCACACACGCTGTAGTACCAGTGCTCACACACACGCATGACATACACATATGCACACACACATGCATGTGCACACATACATGCACAAATATACACACACAAGCAGAGGCAACAGAGCAGTCACACACACATGCACATGCATGACACACATGCACACATGCTGAGGCAACAGAGTGCTCACACATGCACATGCATGATATGCATGTGCACACACAGGCATGCACATGCACACATGCAAAGATGTGCATACACACATGCACACACATGCATGTGCATACGCATTCATGCATATGCTCACACGTGTGGACACACACGCACAGAGTCTGGAGAGCTTCAGGGAGGGGTCCGAGTCGTCAACCCACTGTTCCTAGGGCCAAGCTGGGGGATCCTGGTCCAGTCTGGTGGGCAGCAGGATCTGGCTCCCCCACTGCTGGAGGAGCCCTGCTTCACAGGGGATGTGGCCTCCATGAAGGTGGGATCAGGGCCTGGCAGCCTCCCCTTGCCCAGACCCGCGTGATACTGCCCAGGAGAGCCGCTTCACCAGGGCTGGCCCTCCCTGGCCTGCTCGCGGCCCAGCTCAGCCCAGCCAGGGGATGCCAACGAGGGGATCCGGAGACACGCAGCCCCTATCGCATGGCAAACCCTCTGGGGAGTCTGGGCATCAGGGCATCCTGCTCAGATACGAACAATGGGGTCCCCGGGGCCTTCAGGCACTGCCCCTGCTCTGCCACTGACTGACCAGGCAGCCTTGGTCTACTCCCTTAGCCTCCGTGTGGCACCAGGACTGCGGGAGCAGATGTCTCCCTGCAGCCAGCCACAACCACCCCTTTACCAAGGAGGGGACACACCAGGCCATCTGTCCCAGCAAGGTGCTTCCCCTCCCATGCTCCTGCCTCTGCAGCTCACTTCCAAGTCGGATCACGCGTGTCAGGTGCCAGGGAGCCATGGGCTGCCCATGACTAGGGGGCTGCATGACAGCCGCTGTGCACCCGGCTGGGATGTGGCCTGATCGCGGCCTTGCTCCCGGCCTGGGGATGCTCAGGTCCCTCCGACACGACCCTGGGGGGCTCTGCCTCCACGGGGCAGAGGGATTCACCCCTCCTGTTCCCAATGGCCAGGCCTGTGCCCATGTGTGCTAGGGCTGTCAGGCTGACCCCGTGACTGGGGGGAGATTTCAGGACTTTGGCAGACAGAGCAAGCCTTGGCGTCTCGGGGTGCGACCCCGGGAGCAGCAAGCAGCTCACGGGGAGACGGGCTAGCTGGAGGCACGGATGGAGGAAGCTGCTGGAGGTATGTGGCAGCAATGGGCATTTCCTTGCTGAATGCACCTGCGAAGCCAGCCAGGGTCACCCCAGGACTATGCCCGTGTGGGCTTTGATGCCCTTAACCCTAATGCCAGGCCGAAATTTTCCCTCCAGACTTGGTCTTGACAGAAATGAAGGGCTTGTGGGGGGGTGAAAAAGTGACTGCAGAAAACATGTGTTTGCCTGGAAAGCATTCCTTTTTCACTGGAAACCCTGGTGCCCGGAAAGCGAGGTGGTTTTGGCCACAAAGTGAAAGAGCTGAGACGCGGCCTGAGCAGGGAGCCAGGCCCGGGGAGGTGAACGGGAGCCCGACGCCGGCCTCCGAGGGAGGCACCGCGGTGGCTTGTCCAAGCTCACATACTTCTGCACTGGAGTCATGGCCAGGATAGGAAATTTAAGGGGAATTTAGGCAAAAAATAATGTTCTCTTCATGCCCTCGCTGTTTTTCACACAAAGCAGCACCCCCTGCCCTTTGCAAACGGCTTGGAGAAGCACGCACAGGTTTTACGGAGCAAAAAGGCTGCTTTCTTGTCCTCGTTCTCCTGCCGCGACGAGGGGGCCGTGGACTACGTAGAAAGGCGTGATGATGGGGCAGGGCCTTCGAAACATCACCGCCGGCGGTTGGATCCCAGCCGGAGCAACGCTGGGAGGAAAGCAGGGAGCTTTCGCCCCGAGGGTATTAGCAATGATGCCCCAAACCGCAGGCACTCGCCCGAGGTCTATCCAGGCCGGAGTCAGGGTGAGGTCACTCGCCGGCTGTAAACTCTTGACTGCTATTTATATGGGATTTGCACTTCGCCCGCCGGTTATGGCTGGGTATTTATATCTACTCCCCACCTATGATTATAAGCCACAGCTTCCCCCATGCACACGCGTGTGTGCATGCGTGTGTGGTGGGAGCCGGGGAGGCGGGCGACTGATCCAGGAAGCTACGGCTCCTTCTAGGAAGCTAATAATAATTCCTCGCCCTCTGCAAACATTGAATTAAGCCTCCCAACACCGTCCCGTGATGACAGAGGAGCCATAATGCCTTCATTGTTCAGAGATAAACAGGTTACGAAGGAGTCACGCGCACTGAGTCAGTCGAAGGAACTGGGAATTGGACCCCAGTGTCCTGGCTCCCGCCGTGGCGCGCTCAGACCACATCCCCACCCCGATCGGGTGAAGCCAGGACGCCCAGCCCTCTGCCTCCACCCCGCCACAGTCCCCATCCCATGGGGGGTCATCCAGAGGATCTCGCTGGGCTGAAGAGGGATGTGGGGAGGCCAGGAAGGGCACCGGAGAGACACAGGGTGGGCCTCGTCTCCTCCATCCTCAGCCCCTCGCAGCTCCAGGGCATCCCAGCGCTCGGCCTCTCCGACACTGGCCCCATCCCAGGCTCACACCAGCTGCCTCTATCTTCTAGACCCAGGGCCCTGCCGCCCTGGGAGGCTGGCGGGACCCTGCCGGGCGGTGGGAGCAGAAGGACCCCTGCTTGCAGCTCTTCCCCGCGACGCTTGCTCCCTTCCCCAGCTCTGCCTGGTGGGCTGTGCTCGAGCCCTGGCTTTCCCGGGCCTCGGTGGCCTGGTCCGTGAAGCCCACGCATCATGGGTGCTGCTTTCTTTACGTCTGCACTGTGCTATGAGATGGGAGGGGAGCTCCAGGAAGACAAAGAAATGCTCATAGGGGAATTGCAATGCAGAGAATCAGGTACGGGGAAAGGCGGCCCAGGGGTCAGGGGCTCCAGACCCCTGGTTTCAATTCCCTGCCCTGCTCTACAAGGCTGCCTGGGGAGCCTTTGCTCTCAGTGCCTCGGTTTCCCCCTCTGCACCAGGGCCACGGCAGAGCTGGGGCGTACCTCCGGGCGCAGCAGCAGGAGGCTCCAGGCTGGAGCGGCAGACGCACGGAGCAGGACCCGGGGGCAAGGAGCTTCCCAGAAAGAGCTGCTTTCTCTGCAGAGCTGGAAGGAGAAAGAAATGAGCCTGGTCCCTGCCGCATAGACGTTACTCATAGACATTATGGCTGGAAGCCTAGGACGAGCAGAGCCTCTATGAGCTGCTCCTCCCTGCCCTTCTGGCCTGCGCGGAGATGCCGGGAGCCTCGGAGATCCCTGGTGCCTGCAGCTGGACGCGCTGCCGGGGTGGGCCAGGCCTGACATGCGCCAGCGTACAGCCCGGAGCAGCTACCCCCAAGCATGGCAACTTGCATGGCACAGCCGGCTGCAGCTGCTGGGCTGGACTGACAACACGGCATCAGCTGAGCCAAGCGCCCCTCCTCGCCTCTGCCCTGCGGCCAGAGCTCGCGCCCGGGAGATGCGTTGTGGGTCAGGGAGTGCCAGAGGCAAGGCAGGCCCTGTGGATAACCCGGCAGTGACTGTGCAATGCACACGTGTGGATGTCTGGTTTTTTGTGTGTATATGGAGTGTGCATTTGCAGGACCGCATGCATGAGTGTGCATGGGGGGGTGACGGCCACGCCGCACCTCTTCCAGCTGTGAGGAGAGAGGACGACAGCGGGGATGGCAAAACCCCACTTGGGGAGGAGGGGGGGTGGTCCTGGACTTGCTATCAAGGAAAGACAAGGAGCGGCGCGGGGAACCCGGCGCGGTGCAGACGCCCGGGGAAGAATGCAGCCGCTCAGAGCCAAGGCTCCTTGCCGCATTCTTCGCATTCCCCCCGGCTCGCCGCTGCCCGTCCGAGGCTGCAAAACGTTCACGGCAGGTCAGGGAGCCAAGGCCCCGTCCGAGCCCCGCACGCTAGCAGAAGAGGCTGCCCCCAGCAGCGGTACAAGGCGCCAGGCTATTCTCAGGGGGCTCCAGGATATTGCAAGACCGCGAGGGAAATGCTGACATGGAGCAGAGATGCTGGCGTGCAGGGCAGTGCCCGGGGACCACTGCCTGGCACACCTGGGGAAATGGAGGGTCTTGTCTGAACCAAGTCCCTGGTCTCTAGCATAAGCATATTGCCCACGGCGGGGATGCAGGCCTGCCAGCTCAGGCTTCATGCTGGCACCCAGGTGAGGTGTTGGGTGCAAAGCAAGTCACCCCGTTTGCTGCAAAACAAGATCCCCTGCCCCTTTTCCTCCTGTCTCGGGCTTCTTGCGCGTGTCCTTTCTTCCCAGTTAATCCCAGAACGGTGCTGGGATTTGCACGACGATGAGGCTGGGATCACACTCAGCGCTGTGCATGCACCCAGAGTGGCTATGGGCTGCCATGACCCAAGGAGGTCACAAGCGCAGTCAGTGCCAATGAAGGGATGAAGCAAACGGAGAGGGGGGAAGATAACGAAGCCAGTAGCTGAGGGGCTGTTTGCCAGACCTGTGGAGTGACGCCTGGCCTGAGTCGCGTGGTAATGATCCAGAGCGGGTCCCTGGAAGTGCTGGGAAAGCAGGAAAGCAAAGCAGGGTGAGTCAGGTCACGGCTGTATTATGTTGGCAATTAAAGGGTGGCAAAGTTTGGGGGCGGACGACGATTTAGGAATGAGACCACAGTCGGGTACATGCTGGCAAACACCGCGCCGCCCACAGACACGAGAGACCGAGCCTGCAGCATCATTCAGGACTGAGCAGTGCCCTGTCTCGTAGCGGCACAGACTCCTATTGCCGTGGGGCTGGAAGGGAGCTCCAGACGTCACGTCCAGGCCAACCCCTGCCTGGGGCAGGATCAGCCCTGTCCAAACCAGCCCAGACAACCCCATCACCCAACCTCTTAGCAAGCTGCTGTCAGCCTGACACAGCACCAGACGTTGCACCTGAACCTGCCGCAGGGAAGGCAGGGGCACCGCGGCGGCCAGCACCCTGCGGCTGCAAAGGTTGTTAATGCACATCGAGAGATCCCAGGCAGAGGCCGTGCCCCCGCCACAGAGGAAGGCAAAACCCCCCAGTCTGGACCAATCTGACCAGTGGGGAAAAGTGACCACAAATATGGCATCGGACTGACCCTGCGCAGAGGTGCAAGACCCTCTAGCCAGCTTTATGTCCCAGCAGGAGCACTGGCACAGCCCGGTCCAAATCCCTGGCCTGAGCTGCAGCCGGCACCCAGCGCCTCTGAGAAAGGTGCCCACCCCACGACACATGAAGCAGCAAGGGGGACAGGGGCAGAAACCCCCCAGCCCCATGCGGCAACAAGCAAACATCCCTTCGGCTCTACTCACAGCCCTGTTCTCCCCTGTCCTTCGGTCTCCAATTGTCAAAGCATCGTCTTGCCCTTGCAAATCTCTTGGCGCTCTGGTGCAGTGCCCGAAGACTGGAAGAAGGCCAATGTGGTGCCTATCTTCAAGAAAGGGAGGAAAGTGGATCCGGCTAACTATAGGCCCATCAGCCTGACTTCTATCCCGGGGAAGATCTTAGAAAAGTTTATTAAAGAGGCCATCCTTAATGGACTGGCCGACGCCAACATCTTAAGGGATAGCCAGCACGGGTTTGTTGCAGGTAGGTCTTGCTTGACCAATCTCATTTCCTTCTACGACCAGGTGACCTATCACCTGGACAAGGGAGAAGAGATTGATGTCATATATCTTGACTTCAAAAAAGCCTTCGATCTGGTGTCCCATGATCGCCTCTTGGAGAAACTGGCCAATTGTCGCCTTGGGTCCTCCACGATCCGCTGGCTGGAAAATTGGCTCCAGGGTCGGACCCAGAGGGTAGTAATCGATGGAAGTCACTCATCGTGGTGTCCTGTGACCAGTGGGGTCCCCCAAGGCTCTGTCCTTGGACCCATACTGTTCGGAATTGGGACCACAGTAAGAATTAATACATATTTTATGTCTACCAGAATGTGGCACATTCTTTGTGTTTCGCTATGAATAATGTTGTAATGCCAATTTTAATTTAATTTTATTTTTTGCATAGCACATGCTGATCTGGAAACTATATTTCCAGAAAGACTGCTTACTTTCCTTCATCATTATGAACATGAGCCTGCAGTGCGATGCTGCGGCTAGTAAAGCGACCAAAACGCTGGCTTGCATCCATAGATGCTTCTCAAGCAAATCCCGGGACGTCATTCTCCCCCTGTACTCGGCCTTAGTGAGGCCGCAGCTGGAGTCCTGCGTCCAGTTTTGGGCTCCACAATTCAAAAAGGATGTGGAGAAGCTGGAGAGAGTGCAGAGAAGAGCCACACGCATGATCAGAGGTCAGGGAAGCAGACCCTACGACGACAGGCTGAGAGCCCTGGGGCTCTTTAGCCTGAAAAAGCGCAGGCTCAGGGGTGATCTGATGGCCACCTACAAGTTTATCAGGGGTGACCACCAGCATCTGGGGGAACGTCTGTTCACCAGAGCGCCCCAAGGGATGACGAGGTCGAATGGTCACAAACTACTACAAGATCGTTTCAGGCTGGACATAAGGAAGAACTTCTTTACTGTCCGAGCCCCCAAGGTCTGGAACAGCCTGCCACCGGAGGTGGTTCAAGCGCCTTCATTGAACACCTTCAAGATGAAACTGGATGCTCATCTTGCTGGGATCCTGTGACCCCAGCTGACTTCCTGCCCTTTGGGCAGGGGGCTGGACTCCATGATCTTCCGAGGTCCCTTCCAGCCCTGATGTCTATGAAATCTATGAAATCTCCCCAGCTGCAAGAACATGCTGCCCTAATTTTCCTCGAGGCCGTAACGCCACGCATACGTGCAGGGCTCTGCTCGGCCTTCAAACTCAGCGTGCTAAACTCATTGCGGGGACTGGTAAACGAGGGAGACAGGGAAGGAGCGCAAGCTGCGTGGAAACCTCTGGGCATTGATGGTGTTTTCCAGGCCTTTAAAAATAATCACCTCTTCTCAAAACGCATTTTGAGCCAAAAGGTCATGCACATGATGTGCCAGTTCGGGACACGACGATGCTTGCGGCCCCTGTATGAATCCAGCCCCAAAGGAACAGCATGTTCTGCTGCTTCCCTCTGCTTGCGTGTTGGTTTGCAGCGCACGAGCCCACCCCAACCTCCCGACAGATTTATCGCGAGGTGCGAACAAGCGGCGTGTTAACATCAGAACTGGGAAGAGGAGCCAGAGCTGGCAGTTTCTCTCCATCCCACTCAAAATGCTCAACCGAGTCAGGAGCGGATGCCGGAAAAATCCTGACCAAAGTCTCAGCACGCTGGGAAGCAGAGGGCGACCCGAAATAAAGACAGCCAGATTGAAAAGCAACCCCCTGCATGCACTTCTCCACTGCAAGTGCATGTTTGGTTTTCACGTCTAGTTCGATAGATGTAGCTCTGTTAACTCGGTTGCAAACAGGCAGGACCAGGCACAGGTAGAAGGACCAGTCCTTGCTGCGGGAAGCCCTGGGGAGAGCAGACTCCACGGGGGGAAGCCCTGTCCCCGCTTCCCCTACATGAGCCATTGCTCCCACGAGGAGGGAGGTTCAACGGAGCAGCGTTAGGAGCGTGGGGGTTGCACCCGAGCAGCCAAGCCCGTAGGCAGAGGCTGAGTCCTCAGCACCACCAGGCAGCGGGTCGGATGCCAGCCTGGTCCCTCCCATGGGGACACAAATGAGGAGTCAGGCAACCGGGGAGAATCTATGGGATTCCCCTGACAGGGGGACTACAAACCCCTGCGGGACTCGTCCCAGCAGCATCCCTCGTTTGCATGCTCCTCGGACCTCCTGCCACATCTCAGTCCCTGCCCCTGCCCTGCTGGGCTCTGATCTACCATCTGCTTGGGCCACGACACCACCTCGTCCCTTGACTTGACACCTTGCAATGGGTACCTGGGGCGCCGCCAGCCTGCCTCCGGGACCGCGCTATGGCCCAGTCGATCCTGACAACCGGCACCTGCGAAACAACCGCTCGGTGCAACTGGGGGACACGGTAAAGCCGACCACCGTGACCTTGAGCCAGGTGGCAGAGGCGAGGCCAGAACCAGGACTCGGCGGCGCTGAAAGCGGAGGAAACAAACCACCTGTGGCTGGAAAATACAGCTGGGAGCGCAACCAGCGTCCCCCTCCCTCCCCGCACAGGCTGGCCCCATCCCAGACACCACCAGCACCAGGCACATCCCTCGGCTATTCCCTGCAGAGCAATTAAAGCCGGGTGGCTGCTGGAGCCCGGCTGAGCCGCGCTGCCAATCAAGCGCTAATGACCCTGCGCAGAGGAGGCAGGAGGGGAGACAGCCTTGGATCTCCTGTCTCTGCCCCGGGCGGCACCACCACGCTGCAAATTGCCAGAGGAACATCTTGATCGCAGTGAAAAGCAGGGAGTGTCGACGCCTTCCCTCGCCGATACTGCCAACCCGGTCGCAGCCCGGCAGGAAAACCTAGCTCCTCGGGCGTGCCGAGAGAGTGGACCAGCGATGCAACCAGCACCAATGTCCAGGCTGGGAGGCCTGAGCTGGGGAGATCCCGTGCCCTGTCCACCCGCCTGTCCCACGGAAACCCCTTCCCTACCGGGTGCCACGTCCCTCTCGGCCGTGTCTCCAGCCAGGACGAGCGCCTCGATGATCTTCGCGTGGTGCTCCGGGTTCACCTCCGTGCTGGGGAGAGAAGGGCGGGAGGTGAAGGGGGCGCTGGGAGGAGCGACGAGCAATGCGTTTGTGTGCGTGTGCCCGGCATCTGCCCTGGTCCCTCTGGGAACAAGCCTGGTGCCAGAGAGGACCGCAGCCACGTATCAGAGCCTCAATGGGCTGGAAAGTCGCATCGGAGTCAGCCTCGTGGACTCAGATTAGGATTAATGCACCCATTTCACAGAGGGACAAATCAAGGCGTGAGGCCCAAAGCAGACCCAGGAGTCTGGGCCGGTGCCCGAGTTGCCCAAGACACTAGATATTAATTTGGGATTAGGTTGCAGCAGATAGGCCCCCAGGAAACAAGAAGCTTTATGTCAAGGACGCGGGCAGCCCTCGGAGCAGAGAGCACGACCCTGCATGCACTGCCGAGCAAGCACAGGCAGGGCCTCCTCCTGCAGCCTCACCTGGTCAGCGCGGCGTGGAAGAGCAGCTCTCCGAGGAGCTTGCCCAGCGCCCGGGCGGCCGGCCGGCTCCAGCCGCCGTTCTGGCCCACGCGGCAGAAGTGGCGGGGGC